TATATATATATATACGTTTTTAGTAAATCAGGATTTCATTCAAGTTGTTAGTAATAATTCAATTTGAAAATAATGACAAATAATTATCACATGCACTTGTAAAAAAAATAATATCCCAGTTACTTTCACTAGCAATAATCAACGCTATTATATTAATAAATAAAACTTTAAAAGTATGAAACTATTAAGATCAACTCATTTTTTGATTGAAGTATGACTTAACATACAATCTATTTATGTATTACTTAATAATTAACTTTCATTATCTTTAGACACTTGCAACTTAAGAAAAAATTATCGGGGGAGGTGGAGCTATGGTGCCTAAAACATGGTAATACTATGGGGCTCAGTGGTATGACCCCAAGAAATGAGCATGTACAGATTTTGAATGGAGAGATTCTTAAAAATAAAATATAGATGGTAAAACGTGGGCATAGTGTATGGCAGTTTACAATTTTTAACAGGCACAGACTTGGAGAATTACACCCCCTCCCTGGTTTATCCGTCTATTACGTGTATACAATCTTGTACGTGATGTAGTTATGGTGTATTACCGAACTTATGGAACATTAGGTTATTTGTTTAATTAACTTACCTATTTCCAATATAATAAACGTAATATTCAAATTTTTCATTCCAGGTTTTAGGTCCTGTATAGCTGTCTGCTCCATTTCGAAAAGCTTAAATCACCGTGAACCTGTGTGGATAAAATATCAGATAAGCATTGTTAAATATAAAAATAAAGTGTTTTAAATAACGCTGTTCATAAATATCGCGCCAAATCATACACATGCGCATACACCGATTCGGAAGACTTACACAACTTATAGACCCACACATAAGCGTTTCGTACCTTTCTCGTGCTGAAACAATGAATTAGTACCTCTACTTCGACTTAAAGAAATATTTCTAATGTGTTTCTTGTACTTAAATACCTTTAACGGTACTTTTAGATTGACCTAAAGTTGACTTTTGTCAAGAACAATAATTGAAATCCTTATTGAATCTATAAATTCTAGCTAAATGATTAGAATTATTGGACAGCATTTGACGACTTGCAACTTCGACCGCGTTGAACTGATTGAGTAAGCCACATCATCAAAACGGACATTTTATTGGATAAAATTGTCATTATAAAATATTTCAACTAATTTTCCACAAAATGTCAACTTGTAGTAAATATAAAACTTACTATAAAATTTATATAATTATTAATAATAAACCAATGTTAATACTATTTTTTTAAAACATTTTTTATATATAAAATATAAATGTTATAATTTTTTTATAATACAACTTTGGATAAAATTTTGCAGTAGCCGTGATCGTCTAGTGGTTAGGACATTGCGTTGTGGCCGCAATAACCCAGGTTCGAATCCTGGTCACGGCACGAACAAACTTTTAATTTTTTATCTTGCATAATAGTTATTGTTTATATTATTAACAATTTTTTAAATAATGATTTTTAAGATGAAAATTTGCACAAAACATTAAAATGGAACTGCTTTTCTTTATCAAATAAATTGTTTTGCATAGGTAACCTTTGTTTTCGGTGTATATTAACTCTGATGAAGCCGCAAAGGCGAAACGTTGGTTGAAATAAAAATATATTCTTTTATATTTATCTGGAGTGTAAAAGTAATTTTTTCTAAACCTTTATCATTTTAAGAGATATCCGACATACAATTATATTGTCATGTACTTTGATAATACAAGAATAGATTCTAATGAAAATGCATATTTGAAAGACCCTGAAATATGTTCGAAAGTCTTTCGAAACTTACACTTGTGTTTCTACAACTGGCATTTGCTGTCCATTCAACAAAGTTTCATCGTTAATACTCTGCCTAAACAATATATCAAAGAATACACTGAAATATAGTTTTATAGTTAGTTTAGCACTCTCTTATGTTTTTGTGTTAAAAACGTTTAAAATGCAATCTCAAATTTTTAATAAGGGCTAATGAAATTCTTCCATTACGAAAAGTTATCAAAATAAAGCATTGGAGTGGTTTATAAATTATTACGTAAGTAATAATAAATATTTCATATGAAAGTAACCTGTGCCATCTGTTGAGTAGTTTTGAAACTTTGTATATAGAATATTAAATAGATAAAACATTAATAGAAATAACTTACCTAGGAAATGAAATTTTAGGAATATTCTACTTCTAATTGTAATAATTTCAAATGATGATGTAACTGTTATTTTATCATTATATTGCGATAGTCAACATTTGTTCATTTTTTAAAGAGGTGGATTCACTGAATAATAACAAAAAAAAGCTAACTCGTTTAGTATTAAAATTCAGCCTATAATGGGCTGCAAGAGGTTTAATAGTCTCAAAATCGAGGAATATTTGGCGATTTTCCCACTGGATCGTTTGTTTAGTTCTCCAACGAAACTATTAATGGTTGGAATCAGGATAGCTTGTTTCATATCAGATGCATTTCGTATGGCGTCCCGCTTCCCAAAGTTGGTTAGAACTATATAGTCATCTGTGTTTGAAGGCGTGGAGCTCTGTAACTGACGCCGACGATAATATTTCAGATCATTTATTGTATCGATGTCACAATAACGAGGTAAATAATATGCAGCATTTTCGTCACATCTGTAGGTTTGCAACCATGCTAGAAGACTCTCTGCTGCTTTCAAGTAATCTAACTCGGAACTTTACAACATAACTGACACTCCTTTTGCTTCACGTAAGATGTCGTTCAGAAATAGCGTACAGTATATAAATGTCTGGTCAAGTTGTGGATCGTGCATTTAATACACGATCTCGATTGCTGTCACTTATGTCAACATGTCGCAGAAATTTAATAAAACAGTCCAACCTTGTTACAATAGCACTTACAGCACGCATCTGGCAAGCCCATCGTGTTTCCGACATTGTTTTAAATTCTACGGGCTTTTTATTTGGGTGCATGTATTTTCTTTTTTAGAAAGTAATCCACTGTGTGTGAACATTAGAATCATTTAAAAATTGTAGCAAGTCTGAAGCGTTGAGAAAAAGTTAGCCACAGGGGTAACAGATTTCACACTTTTTACGATGACTTAAGACGATGAGAAAAACAATGCATCTAGATGGATTGAGGAACGATTTGTCTTATTTTCTGTTGAACCCCAGAGCACTTGCCGCTCATGACGGCGGTGATCTCATATCCTTAATCAATCAGATTTGTGGCATCAAGTTCGTTATCTTTTAACTTATCCACAATTTATTTTGTCAACGATGCTGCGTCGAGTTCATTAGCAACTTCAAAACCAAGAACTCTTCATGAACTTCTGAATCATTAAAGTATCAAAGTTGTCTTCTATTTAATGGATAGGGTTTTAGTTTCATCGAATAAAATTGAAAAATACTGAGCTTCTCTTATTTCTTCATTAATTTTATCCAAAATTATATCACCGAAAATATCCAAAGTGGCATCTTGTACACTGTGGTCACTGAAGATATACAAAATGGTACCTCATACACTGTAGTCACTGAGGATATCTAAAGTGGCATCTTGTACACTGTGGTCACTGAGGATATCCAAAATGGTACATTATATACTGTGGTCACTGAGGATATCTAAAGTGGCATCTTGTACACTGTGGTCACTGAGGATATCCAAAATGGTACATTATATACTGTGATCACTGAGGATATCCAAAGTGGCATCTTGTACATTGTGGTCACTGAAGATATCCAAAATGGTATCTTATACATTGTAGTTACTGAGGATATCTAAAGTGACATCTTGTACACTGTGGTCACTGAGGATATCCAAAATGGTATCTTATACACTGTAGTCACTGAGGATATCTAAAGTGGCATCTTGTACACTGTGGTCACTGAGGATATCCAAAATGGTACATTATATACTGTGGTTACAATTATCATCTTGTACACTGTTGGGCGTATGTTTGGCATTTTTAAGTCCTTCACACAATTGTTCATTTACGATCTGGGAATAAGTCTTTAAGAAGCTTAATATTTCCAAAAAAGTTTCCTTTATTTTCAGCTGTGTCTCCTTCACGACAACCCATCTGAGCTACGTTTTAAATAGTTTTAAGTGTCAACGTATCTACAAGTATTTTGATGTACTCCATATTTTTTTCTCCACAATCAGCCGGTGAATTTCATTAGCGTAGTCCGCTACCTTTTTCTCAGAAAGCTTTGATTATAAACAAGCATTATATTTGCACGAGTTGTTCAAACGCGAATCAGACTGCTTGTGTTTGAGAAATTTATTGTTTTTTGAAGGTTCATCTGTACACTTTTTCCCTGTATTGAATCCTTCAGACACTAAAGCTTGCTCACCTTGATATTTAGCGCCTGTAGTAAAATGATGACAGATAAAACAGTAAACTTTGTTAGTAGATGAAGAATATTCAAGCCAATATTCATACCATTCAGGTATGAATTTTCGTCCATAAGTATTTGGAAAGCGAAAGGGTTGTTGTTTGTTTTTTGAATTTCGCGCAAAGCTACACGAGAGCTATCTGCGCTAGCCGTCCCTAATTTAGCAGTGAAAGACTAGAGGGAAGGCAGCTAGTCATCACCACCCACCACCAACTCTTGGGCTACTCTTTTACCAACGAATAGTGGGATTGACCGTCACATTATAACGCACCCACGGCTGAAAGAGCGAGCATGTTTGGTGGGACGGGGATTCGAACCCGCGACCCGCAGATTGCGAGTCGAGCACCTTAACCACCTGGCCATGCCGGGGCGAAAGGGTTTATTAAGACCAGGTTGAATTGGTCCATTGTCGGGCGTTCTGGATATGTCGATCAGCCGGACCACCTACTGCAAGAGTTGGCCTAGGTAGAGCTGATTTTCCACTGGTGATGCTCGTCTAATTCACCCAATATAGCTTCATGTTCTTGATCAGAAGTATCCACAATGCCTCTTTGATTCAATAGTCTATCCTCTGTTGGGTCCTCATCTTGAGCCCTTTGGCACTTCTCACTTGATAGATTCGTCTTCATGAGAATCCTGTGATTTACATGGGTTTTTGTATAATTTTCAGAATATCCCTTTCCTCAATAGTAAGACTTTATGTGTCTACACATGTATGCAGAACACCAACTTCATGTAACAATTAACAACAGTAAAATATATAGTTTAAAGATACCAAGCTCGCAACAAGTACTGAGTTAAAAGTTAAAGCGCCGAAGACAGCTTGATACTCAACAATTTCGTGCTTGTCACAACTGCTTACCGCATAACTGTTCTGAAGACCTTATTTATCAACGTTTCTGAGAAAGATAGGCCTAAGTCTCTTTTTAACCCTTTTGCGAGGGGCAGTATAATATTGTCATCACTCAGGCAAAGTATAATATTTATAGCCTTCAATCTTAGTTATTTACAGAGCTATAAAATAGAAAATCAGAACCTTCTTGCTACGCCCACCTGTCAATCCTCCCTTTCAGAACTTGTCAGTAGTTTACTCTGACTTTAAATCTTATATTATGTATAACAACAGAAAACCAAGAGTTTCGCATTTGAAACGGTGTATTATTCTACTTTTATTTTTTCTCAACAGACAACGTTAGTGTCGGTTTCAGTTTTGCTTTTGTTCCCACGATAAACATATCGACCAGCTTTGCTTAATTTCTCATGTTTCTGGCATAGTTAGAAAACCAGAAAAACTGTGATAGTTATTGGACAATTTCTGCCTTTTGATATGTTATTATTCTGTCTTATTTTCAGCATTATTTAATTAAATAAATAATTATTTAGTGCAGTAGTACCATTAGTATAACAAAACATAGTTAAAGGGATTACAAGAAGAAAAAATATTCCCTAAAACGGTAGTGCGCGTGCGAACGAGATTTCTTGTTATACATAATAAATTTGCTCTATGTACGTAAGAGTAAATTAGGGAAGTGGTGGTGGGGGAATACCCCCCCCTTAACAACTAATACTTTGGTAAATATTTCTAAATGTGCGAGAACTAATTTATCAACGTTTCAAATTTAAAGTTTCATCGTTATCAAAAGAATCTTATCTAATTTGGAATTTTAAAACTATATAGTAATATTCTATGAATTATCAATATTACCGACATTCTGTACATGTCACAATTGTAGTTTTACAACCGCGAGTTCAACATAATTCCGACAAATAAACCCAGCGACGTAAAATAATGCGATACGTAAATAAACCGTACGTTTCTACCTTCTTATATTGATTTAGTATTAACCTAAACGCGTAATTCATTCTGCATATGTGCAGGTATTACATATCACGTGGTAGAGAATGCTTATTTCGTTCTAGTTGTCTTTATTATTGAACTAGCTGTGTGTACCCGTCCTTCGTACGGGTTGTGTGTATAAATAATACATTAATTTAACAATTAACAAACAAATTACTTGTACATTATTATAACAATTAAATATAAGTTAACAAAAGATACTGTGGACCATGTGTTAACTGTGTCACTTAGAAAAAACGGAAAATGTCAAATTGTGATGAGTTGTACTTGTGTGTTTGTAGTGTATCACACATCTGTGAAAAAATTAGTTTTATTTACCGAAGAGCCTCTTGATAGACGACATTGGAAGTACGTCCACCTGGGGCATGGATAAATAGGCTGCGAGAAGATCTGACTCTTGAGCAGGTTACATATAGTTTTTAAACTCCAAGGATAGTGTTCATAAAAAAAATATATATATATATAAGAAAGAACGCAGTTCGCGAGCCAAGCGCAAAAGAGCAATGCCGAGTGGACGGGCGAGCGACCCTTAGCAAAGAAATATAACCTTAAAAGCAAAAGAAATATAACCTTAAAAGCAATAAATATTGCCAAAATATAAACAAAATAAAGCACAGACAGCTGGAGTGACGCAACAAATTTTTGCAGTAGTTGTTTTCTTTCCAACATAGAGATAATAAACATTGTTTTCAAAATTTTACATTGTATTCACTGTTACTATGGTAATCATTAAAACAATAAAATGTCTATAAGAATAACATTGGAACTTTGAAGACCCGTGGGGCGGAGCCCTAAGGTGAATTCCAAAAATCCAAGTAGCCTATAATCTTCTCACGCATGTATAGAACAAAGAAAAAAGTTTCATCGAAATCAGTGCACCCGTTTCCCTGTGAAAAGCGAACAAAATCACGTCCAAAACCGCACCAAAGAAGGTTTTTGAGCGGCCGCCATTTTCTTTCCAAAAGGCGTATGACAGTTTCAAGTAGCCTATAACCTTCTTACACATCTATAAGACAAAGAAAAAAAGTTTCATCGAAAACGGTGCACTCGTTTTCCCGTGAAAAGAGAACAAA